GACAGCTCTAAAACATACCATGACATCAAAACCAAGAGAAAGCAGCTCACTTATACTTTCTCATCCTACCTCTCAGAAAAGATTCTCCCCCGTCTGCTGATAGCTGTAATTTCTTTAACAGGAAGAGTTTCCATTTCACAAATAGAGATAAAGGGCAAATTGCCTGTGACACACAGTGTGAAGAATTTCAGTCAATGAAATTAATTAATTACAACAACATGCTTCTCACGGAAGAATAAACAATAGGCCTCAGAGTGGAACTGACGTGGCTTCAAATCCACCCTTTTCGAACCATGTGACCTCAAACAGTTACAGAATAACTCAGCATCCCCATTTGTTTGCCTATAAAATGAGGGTGCGACGCCCAGCTCAAGCAGAAAGCTCTCAACACTCAGCCTGGCACAGTCAGCACCCTCTCCCCTTCCACTTGTTTTGGTGGGGGTCAAAAAAATAAATAAATAAGGTCTTGGGTATCCAAACAGAAAGAATGGGTGAACTAAGGCATGAGAGAGGGAGAAAATGGAGACAATCGATACTGAAATTGTAAAACTTCTCCATTTCACTTAGGGCCCTGTATGGATTTAAGGAAAAAACAGGTCCTCATAACTACCTCACATTCTGTGGCTCCAGCAGGTCCAACAGCGGCTTGTCAGGAGTTCCCATCAGAATGTAGATGGCTTCTGGTGCGTCTCCTACAGCATCCAAACCAAAGTGTCCCCTAATCACCTACTATTTAAATACCTCCAATCACAAATGCAGTAGCTCACAAATCACACCACTGAACAGTCTCACTATAACTGAGATTGTCCTTCCTTGTGCCAAAAACGTGCCTCTTCATAATTCAACTAGAAGTACCAATTCCATCTTAGCACTCCAAAGAAGAGCATACATATTCCCTTTCGATATTTAAAGATAACTTCATGTCTCCCCTTCAACATCTAGATTTCCTTTCTTTGAGGGCACTCTAGGTTTTCAATGTTCCTTTTTTTTTTTTTTTTTGGTGAGGAAGATTGGTCCTGAGCTACTACCTGTTGCCAATCTTCCTCTTTTTCCTTAAGGAAGACTATCGCCAAACTAACACCTGTGTTGATATGCCTCTATTTTATGTAGGATGCGTCCACAGCATGGCTTGAGGAGCAGTGCTAGGTCTGTCCCTGGGATCCGAACCTGCAAACCCCAGGCCACTGAAGCGGAGCATGTGAACTTAACCACTATAGCACTGGACTGGCCCCTTCAATGTTCCTTTTGACCCTTCATTCTTATAACTAAACTCAGAAAAGTGTGGATGCATACAAACATCCACAAATTTTCCTAAGTGAGAAAATATACAAAATCCTTAAACCAACCTTCAAAAAGTGTGCTATTTTATTACTGATCTTCCTTCTTGCGCTTCCTTTATAATGTTTTCTTTTTAACAGCTCTATTGAAGTAAAATTTACATGCCATAAAACTCATCTAATTTAAATGTACAAATCAGCAAGTTTTAGTGAATTTATACGGTTTTGCAACCAAAAGCCTGCTGGAATTGTGACAGGAATTGCATTGAATCTATTTATCGATTGTGGGAGAACTGCCATATCAGTAATTTTGAGTCTTCCCATCCATCAATGTGGGATCTCTCTCCATTCAGTTAGGTCTTCTTTAATTTCTCCCAGCAATTCCTTTTACTTTCAGAGTAGTGGTCTTGCACATCTTCTAGTAAATTTATTCCTAAACATATTATTATTTTTGATGCAACTGTGAATAAATTTTTTTAAATTTCACTTTTGGACTGTTCATTTCTAATATACAAAAATAAAACTTATTTTTATATATTGCTCTTATATCCTATAATTTCACTATTCCCGTTATAATTTTTTGAATAAAACGTTTTTCATTACCATATTAAGTGGTAAACATCAGGTCTTGCATTATTTCACTTCCCTTTCACACAAAGCCAACACCAAGACGGCCAACACTTTAATCAGCTTTTTAGAAACCATCTGCTTCAGAACAATAATCCTTAGTAAATCATTAATAAAGTTCATACATTCCGCTACTTGCACCACAGCAAGTCTAAAACTATCACTTAGCAAACTTAAATTTATTTCATATTTCTGAAACCAGCAAGAAGAGCATCTGCCTTCCTTTCTTTTACAAACCCCAGGGCAGGAGTCTGCTTAGTATACGGGTTGGCCAAACACAGTCCACCACCTGTTTCTGTAAATAAAGACTGATGGAAGCACAGACATGCTCACTGGTTCATGCTGTCCACGGCTACTGGTGCATTACAGCAAGAGAGCCGAGTGGCTGTGACAGAGGCTGTATGCCCTGCAAAGTCTAACATATTTGCTACCTGGTCCCTCACAGACAGTTCCCCAAACCCTGCTCTCAGAAACGGTGGGCAAACATGGTAAAAGTTAACTTCTCCCTATATTAGTTAAGGAGAATATCCTAATATATAGGACATTCTATCCCTAAACACTCTTTTCTTTTTGTCTCTATCACTTAAGGTTTTCAATTTTTTCCCTCAAAAATTTCAAAGCATATATGAAAATACAGACTAGAAAAAGCACTGAATTCTAAAACAGATTAAGTTTTAAAGGTAAATCATCTAGATATGGATCAAAATAATACAGCATACATGAGTGTTAAATGAAGGGAGATACGAAAAAAAGCTTATTGTAAAATATCTTAATTTACACAAGGATTTGTTAAAGACAGTGCAACAACTACCCTACGAATAGCTTATCAAGGACGTAAAGCAGAGATTCAGGAATTTTTACACTGTAAAGTACTCAAGGAAGTCAAAATCCTTCATTTTAAAGATTTAAACCCTGGCTGTTCAAAGAAATACGTTAGACATACCACGTAAAACAAGAGTGGAAGAAATAAACAGAACTGTATTAAGACATAAACAGCACCTCCAGATGACACACAGGAATGCTCTAAGTCCCATCTAGTATATGTGAGTGAAATTCTTAAGGTCTGACCCATTAAACATTTTAAATTAATGTAAAGGCCTCAGTGAAAAAAAATAAGCTTATATGGACAACAAGAAAAAAAAACAAGAAAGAAAAAGTAAAGCGAAACCGAAAAACACATATGGGTAGAAATAAAAATTGAAAGGAGCTAAAAGAGATTTAAAAAACACTTTTCAAATTAATCACCCACTTCTTTATTGCGAACACTAGCAACTCATAAGGCAAACCCTTATTTAGCCTAATGTGCCCATCAACAGTGTCGATTCCAACAGTGAAATCCTATCTTAAATATCAGCAGCACATATGCAAGCAGCACTTTCCTCCTGAACACTTACTATAAAAGAGTAACGTAAGTAATTTTATACAACTCTATGTCTCTAAAGCTACACTATCCAAGAGAACTTTCTGCGAGGACAGAAGTGTTCTCCATCTGCACTGTCCAGTACAGTAGCCACTAGCCACCTGTGGCCACTTAGCACTTGAAATGCGGCTAGAGCGAATGAACAAACGAATTTTAAATTTTAGTCATTTAAATTTACGTGCGCACATGTGGCTAATGGCTGCCACACTGGATGGTGCAGGTCTAAAGCATTATAAAGTTAACTTTACAGATTGCCACTGCCTTTCAGAAAAAGAAACAATTTCCTTTGACTAGATATGAGTTTATTAATCTTCCACTTTAGAAGAATATTACTTTTGTTTATGCAGTAATCTAGAAGTCTTCTGTCTTAATCTAATTAAGTTTCCTTCTGTCAGCCAGCTTAAAAACATACAACTCTTTTTTTATCAGATATTAAATACAGTATCACTTTGAACTTGTCATCTGTATAAGATTTTAAAAATAGGGTTATAATGGTATAAAAACTGCTTCACCTGAAACACCACTAAAATATTCTACTTCTCTTATAAAAATTAACTCAAAACACTACGAATTTGTGAGTGTTGGTGTAGAGAAGGAAGAGGAAAGCCAGTGCAGGTGGCGTCAATGGGAACGAAGAGAAGAAAACAGAGGAGGTGACCACCAGGTCAAACACGGAAGATGTAAAATACAACAAGGTTTAGAAAAAAGCTAATCAATTAGCTATAGGTCTATGATTCCTTGTGCAAAATTCTTGGGGCCATATATATTTCAGAATTCAGAAACACAGTGCCTGTGCCATCACAGATAATATAGAACCCCCTGCAGCAAGACGTGCTGGCAGGATCTGCTGGTTACACCCTGCCCTGGGGTGTTCAACCATGTTTTACACACCTCTACTCCCCAATTTCCATCTCTGTGCCAGACCTCGACACTCAGCTACCAGCTCCTATTGTTATGTCTCACAGACACTTCACAGTCAACATCCGTTTATTCGGCAAATAATAGTTCAGCGTTTCCTACATACCAAGCACTGTTTCAGGTGCTGATTACATACCTGCTTGAAAGGCTTATCCCTAAACATGCTCCCCAGCTCCAGGGTTCCCTCCATGAGAAAATGGTGCTTCCATCTACCCTATCACCCAAGCCAGGAACCTGGAATCATCCTTGACATTTTCTTCCTACTTGCACTTCCCATCCATCACTAAGTCCTTCCAAATTTACGTTCTAAATCTCTGTCCAACCTACTCACCTCACTCTCTCTCTCTCTGCTGTCAACCCCAAACTAAGCCAGTGGTTCTTAACTGGAGGTTCTGCCCCCAAAAGGCATTTGAAAACATCTAGAAACATTCATGGTTGTCTCAACTTGGGCGGTTAATGCTACTGGCATCTAATGGGTAGAGGCCAGGGATGCTGCTAAACATGCTACAGTTCAGAGGACAGTCCTGCCCATCAAAGAATTACCCAGTCTACAACATCAGTAATGTTGAGGTTGAGAAATCTGCTGTAAGCAAACAGAAGAGTGATGCATACCAATGATTTTATTTTTGTACTTATGACAGTTGTTCTTGAAAAAGTTCTCACAATTTAGAATAATTTTTAATGTAATAAAATTCTATTTTGACCTAATTCTATTACAGTGAAATACACATTTATATGTGAACAGAGTGAACACTTACGTGTGCATGTTCTCCACTCCTATTATGATCATGATACAGTAGGAAATTCCACTTTGTACAAGAAAATGTAAGGCATACCTATAAAAAAGTAAGAGCATTGTGAGAAGAAACATGCCCATTCACAAACATCAAGTCAAAACAATTCAGGCTAAAAAGTGCTTATGTATAACACAGAACATTCCCAGGTAAAAAAATAAGGAATCAAACCTCCAGAGCCTAAAATTCTGTGAATACCCTGGAGAAGGAGTCCCATATGGCAAGCCCCAGAAGAGCTGGAAAAAAATAAAACAAAACCCCATAAAGCCACACTCAGGCCCCAGCATTCCACGTCTCCTAGCTACATGAGAGCACTGCGGGGTTATGTGGCTAGAAGATTACAGCTTTTTCCATAATTTAAGGCACAATGATGGAAGGAGTAACAAATCTGGATTTTAGAAGAGTCCTAATAGAACATCAGTTATTTGTTTGCCCAAACTAAGTTCTCTCACATCAGCTTTACACTCTGTTTATCTTTTCAAGTATTACAAAACAACAAAAAAGTACTAAGTATTAGAATTAACTAAAAAGCAGTACACCCAAATCTATTTATTCTGAAAACATGATGGCTCAAGTCAAATGAGCTTCCTTACACAAATCTAGTCATCCTTAATTTGCAGTAATCTACCTACAAAACATTTTGCTGAGATGGCAGAGTATTTTCTAAGGTTCTAACGTAGAAATCCACCACTAAATGAAAGAATTTATCCATTCAGTTCAAAAAGTTCAGGCAAAACATGATTAGAATCCCTAGTTTTAAAATTAACCTAAACTATCCCTAAGATTATACATACACGTGCACACACACACACACTTTCAATTTTCTTTCCCTTTTGATGGCATGAATAACACATGAAAAAATTTTCAAATCATTGTACACAATTTAAAGTATTAACAAGGATCTTAACCTATGATTAAAATGACTTTTATTCTAATCATTACGGAAAAACAGGCACCTCCAATGTGGAAAAGTTACTCAAATTTTTCCATAGAAATATTATAAATAAGAAGTAGGCTCCAAGGCAGACCCATAGAAGAAACTTATTTCACCCATTGCACAGACTGTGTCGGTCACTCTGTCTCTCCCTCCACCTAACGCACACGCGCGCAGGCACACACAGAACAATGTTGGCGCGGGGAGCTACTGTAACCAGAGGGCCAGGGGGAAGCAGAGAAAACATATATGAGTATAAACTGAACTGAAGCAAGCTTTAAAAAAATGACTAAAACACACACTTCTCAAGTCAATTATCCACCTGCTATTTATTGCCAGCATTAACAATTCACTAACGGACTCGATGTGAAAAACTGCAGAGGACTGCCAGATGCTTGGACGGGCTCGACTGACGGAGAGGACTCATTAAACACACTTGTCTTAAACAAAAACAATTTTTGAGGACTCTTGGGGAAATACTTTTCCTTTTCTATGATGAAATTTCCTTGGAACACGAGGGATATATGAGAACTTTAGAAGCTAAGAGTTTTATTTCTCCAATAGTGCCATCGTTCCTTACGTCACCTTAAGAGGCCCACTCCCCTGGCATCACCATTCAGACGACGTGCTTCGTCATCTTCTGTGGCGCAGTATAACGCTTGGCCAGCCTCCTGTTGTGCAAGCCTGTGTTACTGTGACCACCTAGGTTCATCTGTACAGAGCAGACCTGCAGTCACCTCCGGCTCACTGATTCCCACGGCAAGCATCAAGTTGCTTTTCCGCTCATTCATAGCACAGATGACTTTCTTCATAACCTCCCATTCCCAACTACTCCACTTGCCCTCATTAGTAAGATGAGCATAAAAAATACAGAGCAGCCACTTAATGTTCTTCAGGCTTAAGAGACAATACGTGAAAAGTGTTGACTGGGTTATCTGGTACACAGTAAGCACTCAATTATTAAGTATTCTTAGTAAAGTAAAAATTCAAGATAGATGATACCTTAAAAGTCTATTAAAATGCAACCCTCATTATTTTAGAGTTGAGGTCATATGCCTGACAGACTTTAAGACTTTCTGGGCAATTTATCCACTGGCTGATTCTTCAAGAGGTGGGGTGAAGTGGAACCCCAAGGATTGTGTACCATCATCTTTCAAGCTGCCTAAGTACTCTGAAAACAAAAGAATCCTCTATCCCAAACTTCAGTTTGTTTTTAGATATCACATTTTACTTATTTTGAGTTTCAAATCACACTAAAGGCAGGTATAAAATTTATTTTTAGCAAAAAAGAGCACTGGGAACAGAGTCCACGGACAAGGTCTCTGTCCTCAGAGAGCTTCCAGTCTGGAAGAAAGACAGAAATAAATAGATTACTTTAACACTGTATGGTAAACATTTAACAAAGAGGTATGATAAACATAAAAATTTCTAATCTGGACCATCAAGTGGATGACGGTAATGATGGACAACAATGATGATAATGGTCTTGACCCTGAGTAACTTTCCAGGCTTACAATGAGCTGGGATTGTGCTAAGCTCCTATCTGTAGTATTACGTCTTTTGGTCCCCACAGTAATCATTAGTTCCATCTTACAAAATAAAAGAGTGAAGCTAAGAAGGGTTGCATAATATGTCCAAAGTCACACAGCTACCAGGCCAAGGCACCCAGGGTGGGATCCGGGTCTGTCTGACTTCAGAGGTTACGCTCTATTCCATTACCCAATACTCTTACCAAAGGCAGCTAAATAAATAATTAAAAGTGTAAGTGAATTCTTAGTTAAAAGAAACCTGTAGTTGGCAGTCAAAAAAAAAAAAAAACCTGACACCATATAGAAGTAGGTAAAATAATCAACTATACTTACAGAATACTAACATATATCTTCCAAAAGGGAAGTTGTCAAAATCAGCAGCAGATATGACTGCCTCTGAGCCTAAAAAGCAAAGTGCTAAAACGCAGATCAAAAGGATCTCTCCTTCCCATTCATTCCCACGAGCAAAGAGTTACCTTACACCTGGTGCAGAGACACAACAATCTCGCTTCCCAAAGAAAGGAATATACAAAGTTCCTCCTTCAAGAATAGAGAATTCTATTTAAAAAAGAAAAATCCTGGTCACCATATATAATTTGAATATTTAGGACTGCTTGACATTAAGGTCAGGTTCCTACTGACACTGTCTTATAAAGCACCCGAGAAGGCTTCACAGCGAGAAAACACCTCCTCAGGAAGGACCTGCAAGGAAAGAGCCACACGTGCCCCAAGCCGTCCAACTCCAGGAAGGAGCAGGCAAGTTTCACGCTTCTGTTTACACAGACCACAGCGTGAGCGGCGTCCTGGAGCAGGCCACTCTGCACTATAAGCCTTCCCCAGCCCCTCCTTAAAATACGCTACCCAAATACACACTGAATACTCAAGCATTGATGAGGGAAATGTGCAGACTGGGATATGCTTGAAAATACTCCAGAAAAATAAGCTGGGGAAAGGATAAAGTCAGAATGGTAGAACTTTAATAATTGTTGAAGTTGGGTAATGGGTATATGAGGGTTCATTATATTATTCTCTGCACTCCTGTAATTGAAAAGTTCCATAATAAAAAGTTTTAAAAATATATATACCCCTAAGGCGTGATTTACAAGAAGTTTAAATAGAACCACCTGAGAATCTAAGAACATTTTGATGATATCAATTTGATGTTATCAAGGAAGCAGCAAGACCACACCTGAAGAGATCCTATTTAAATCTCAGGCTACACACGTACCCAACACGAGCAGTGCCCGCAGAGGGTTGGTCACATGGCCACACGGCAGGGACTGAATAAGCTATCCCTGATTGGTTTTCCATGAGTTTGTAGGAAACAGTAGCAATTGACAGAGACAAAAATTAGATTAAGAAGCACCGTATATTCCAACCCTCACAAGAACCAAAAACAACATCCTAAAACAAACACAGGGCACCATCAAAGTCCCACAGACTCAACCCACCACGACAGAAACTGCCAAACCACAGACCGAGCGAGTGCATTTTCACCCTCCCAGGGAATTTTCATCTCGAACAAGAGTCTGCACAAGAGCAAACCTAGAAAGCCTTATCTGTGAGTGTGTAAACGAGATAGCAAACAGGCAAGCAGCAGCAGCTCTCACTTAAGAAGGAAGATTCAGAAGAAATCACAAAGAAGCCCTTCCATTGAGAGTATCTGCTGCTTTGCCAGGCGGCGTGCTCTTCTCCTGGCTTCTCTGTCACACAGCCACAGTCACCTGTAACAAGCAGGGAGGGTGGTGTTTGTGTATTTAAGGCTCTCAGGGCAGCCCTGACAATTACGAAGGCAGCTAAATGAAGGAAATATACACACAGAGCATCTGAAGAGTCATAAACTAAAGCTTTCGATCATAAATAATTCTCCTCCACCAAAAGCAAACAAAAATCTTTTTTTGCTAATGGTAGAATCTAAAAAATGGTAATAGGGTTCTATCAATGGGCTTTACCAGACTCCTTAGAAGCCACTTGCATGGAAAGAAAAAAAACTATTTTAAATGCTTTATTTGTCTTGGCATAAAAATTTGCAAAGTAGGTGAAAAGAACTACTCATGACAGAATAAAATGTCCTTATATATTTTTTCTCCATCTGTCCTTTTTCATAAATTATAGCAAATTCCCCTCTGAGCCCAAACTGAAGAGACAGAGCCCATTCTCCAATTCTTTATTTTTTCTATTAAAAATAAAAATTGAAAAGTTGGCATATATATGTATACATATAAAACTTTATAAGTAAATATAAGAACAAAATCCCACAGAACGTATGTTTCTACTCATTCAAGTCACAAAGATATCCAAAGTCTTCATTTAAATATGATCAGAATACTTACCATCCAAAGCAAAAAAGTGCAAGGTAAAGGCCCAAAAGGGTAGCAACGACATGTCTCATAAAAGAGCTAGTTTTGCTTGAATGCAGGTAAGTTCGAAACCAAATGGCTGCTAGCAAGGCAAAGAGTTGGCACACTACAAAGTTGACCTGTAAAGAAAAATTAAAATTTCATATTAGCAACACAGACTTGAATTTTTCATTTGACATCACGTTAAAATTCTCAGGACAAAAAGACCAAGGTTAAGCAAAATTAAGATCACTCAGTTTACAAAAGAAACAAAAACAAAACTCAGGGGCCTCCCCAGGGATGACAGCCTCAAGTTCAAAGTGACGGGCTGACACACACTGTCTGTGCTACAGGGTCAACAGCACCCAGCTGGTGAGAGGCCTGTGGGGCACCTGGAAGAACCTGGAAGATACAGGGGTGCAGACATAGAAATGGAAAGCACAGTACGGTGTGAGATACAGAGAAACTTGCTTAAAAGACTTAGGTGATCCTATAATTAGCAGAAAAGGTTTTTCTTCAAAAACCCTCTGGGCCAAGACCCTGGGCGGCCTGGCGGAATGCACCCTCTTCCATTTGGAGTTCCGCAGCCACCCCTGGTCGGGGAGTCAAGGAGCATCAGCTGGTCGAAAACTACCACCTTGTGAAACAGTCACAGCCCAATGTCTCAGCTCTGGGGGATCTCAAGGACTGGTTCAGGAGGCAAACGGATGAATGACAACAAAGAAGCCTTCAGAAAGCCAGGGGGGAAAACATTTACTCCCAGTCCACGAACGTCAACTTTGAAGTGTCCTCATAACTCACTGGGAACTGTTCTGCTCTCAAGCTGGGGAATGCAGCACATGCTGGGGATAGTGCTGCCGCTCTTCTCTCTCACTAGCAATGCTTCTGCCCTGGCAAAATGATAAAGGAAAATGCTAACAGTATGAATCTCTTCTCGTATTTAAGGACTTGAGGAAAATCTCCATTTCTCTTAGGAAGGATATCCTCACAGGACATTAAGGAAAATATGTCTTAAAATCTAAAAATAAAAGGAAAAATCCATTTTACATTAGGAACTTGCAAAAAAAACACATACAAAATCACTGCTTCAGGCTCCTCGATTTTGGGCAATCACAGCACCTACGTGAGAGGCTGCAGAGATCCACAGAGACATCTCTGCCTGAAGACACAGACAACGACGTGCTTTTTCTCGCATTACAAGAAGAAGACAGTTGAACGCTGTTGCGCATAGTCTAAGAGACCATTGTTCTTTGAAACAGCTAGACTCAATACCAGCAAAACGTCATTCAAACAGGTTCTAAGCACTTTTTCCCTCCTAAAGGGTTCCAACTATATTTTTTAATTAAGCAAAAAGTAAATACATCAGAAAGATGAATATTCTTGATATTAACAACTACTCACATCTACAAAGCTTCTTGCAGTTTAAAAACTTTCTTTCAAATCTCTCTTAATTCAACAAAAATTTACAGAGCATCTACTACGGGCAATGTACAGGAAATTGAAAAAAGCCTAAGTCCCAGTGCTAGCCCAGAGTGACGTTAGTGAGAAAAGTAAACGTGTACACAAGGAACTTCAACTCAACTATTAAAGTGTCTGTTTAAAGGTTATATAGAAAGTGCTTTAAGAACACCACCACAAAGGAAAGAGCACAAAAGGGTGAATGTCACAAAGCAGATGACATGAGAGTTCCTATCACAGCTGATCACCAACCCGTGTGAGGAGTCTCTCTCCCTTCCCCTCCCTCTCTCTTTTCATATTTGTATATTCATATAAGATAAAGCAAAGTGTGATTATCATAGAAGCATTCTAGGACCAAGGGCATATGGAATTTTATCATATCTTTGTAGACATCCATTTTTAAATTGTCATCTTACAGATAAAGAACATGAGACCAGGCCCCACTCCAGACACTGAATCTAAATCTTTTAGGGGTAGGCCCAAAAGACCACATTAAAAATAAACAAGTCCTGATAATCCTCAAGGTGTGAGAACCACTCTGTTGGAAAATAAGGGAGAGGGCATTTTAAGTAGGAAAAAAAATAAGATATGAAGGAAGCACTGAGGCATGAAAACACAAATGAGCACAATGCAGGGTGGGTTCAGAAAGTGAGGGGCTTTGTGTGTCATGCTGAGGCGTTTACAGGTGAGCCCGTAAGTGATGAGAAACCACTGAAGATTTTTAGAATAAGAAAGTGACGTGATCCATCCTCTGCTTCTGCAAAGGAAGGAACGGAACAAGGAGTGTGTAGCAACAGGTTAGGAGGCTGCTGTTCGAGTCTCCTTGAGAAAGAAGGGTCTGAAGTAGCAGGGAGATAGAGAAAACCAATTCAAAGAACACTCCGACCACAGGACTGCCAGGAGTGGTCAGTAGACGAGGGGCTGAGAATGGGAAAGGCAGCAAGTCATTAATGGATGATGACATGAATCACGACAGGGCAATGCAGGAGGAAGAGCACGTTTTAGGGGGAGAAAGAACTCTCTCTCAGGTATGCTCAGTTTGAGAGTGCCCAGGGGACAAGTGTGCACTCTGAAGATGGCTGGAAGACAGGTCTGGAGGCAGAAGAGCAGATGAGAGTCTGGGAGTAACAGACACAGCCAAAGGAGAGTGACAGGAAGACGAGCAGACCTAGGACAGAATCCTACAGCCTGCAACAGTGGCGTCCAGGTCAGATAAGAGAAGCAAGCAGAATGAGGAGAGGAGGTGGGGAAGAGAGAAGGCAGGATCAAGAGGCCACAGTCACTGTCAGATGTCATGGGGCATGAAGTCCACCTAACTTGGCAGTTGAAACTTTATTGGTGACCTTGGTGAGAGTAACTGAAGTAGAATATCCAGAATAGAAAGCCACATTTTACAGATGAGGAAATTAAGTCTTAGCGTTTAGGTGAGCTATCTAAAATTATGCAGCTTAAGAATAATTCATGGGCCGGCCCAGTGGCACAGCAGTTAAGTTTGTACATTCAGCTTCAGCAGCCAATGGTTTGCCAGTTCAGATCCCGGGTGCAGACTTATGCACTGCTTGTCAAGCCATGCTGTGGCAGGCATCCCACATATAAAGTAGAGGAAGATGGGCATGGATGTTAGCTCAGGGCCAGTCTTCCTCAGCAAAAAGAGGAAGATCGGCAGGAGTTAGCTCATGGCCAGTCTTCCTCAAAAAAAAGCATTCATAATTATCCACTGATGGCCAGGATAATTGTGCAAGAGACACAAAAATGCATGGAATGAGGTCCTGCTCCAAAAAAACAAAAGGAGTGAGTCACAGACACGGAACTAGAGTACAATTTAAGTGCTAAGGCACAGACCTGGGAAAACCCAGAGGAGGAGCACTCAATTCCCCTAACCTGGGGGAAGCATCCCAAAGGCACCATAGTATTTGGGTCTTGTAACTGGGCTACGAAGGATAAGAAAGATTTGGACAATCAGATGGCAAGAACTCTAGGCGCAGGCAGTAGCATCATCATATCAAGAAAAAAATCTTTAACAAGATACTAGCAAATCGAATACAACAATACATTAAAAGGATCATACATCGTGATCAAGTGGGTTTCATTCCAGGGATGCAGGGATGGTTCAACATCTGCAATCTATCAACATGATACACCACATTAAAAAAAAGAATAAAAATCACATGGTCATCTCAACAGATGCAGAGAAAGCATTTGATAAGATACAGCATCCGTTTATGATAAAAACTCTAAATAAAGTGGGTATAGAAGGAAAATACCTCAACATAATAAAGGCCATGTATGACAAACCCACAGCTAATATCATCCTCAATGGGGAAAAGCCGAAAGCTAACCCTCTAAGAAAATGAGCCAGACAAGGATGCCCACTTTCACCACTCTTATTTAACACATTATTGGAAGCCCTAGCCAAAGCAATCAGGCAAGAAAAAGAAATAAAAGGGATCCATATTGGAAAAGAAGAAGTGAAACTGTCACTATGTGCAGACAACATGATTTTATATATAGAAAACCCTAAAGAATCCACTAAAAATCTTTCAGAAATAATAAATGAACACAGTCAAGTCGCAGGATACAAAATCAACATACAAAAATCGGTTGCATTTCTACACTAACAACAAAGTATCAGAAAGAGAAGTTAAGAATACAATCCCATTTACAACTGCAGCAAAAAGAATAAAATACCTAGGAATAAACTTAACCAAAGAGGTGAGAGATCTGTACACCGAAAACCATAAAACATTGTTGAAAGAAATTGAAGGAGACAAAAGAAATGGAAAGATACTCTGTGCTCTTGGATTGGAAGAATTAACATACTTAAAATGTCCATACTTCCTAAAGCAATCTATAGATTCAATGCAATCCCTATCAGAGTTCCAACAACATTTTTCACAGAAATAGAATAAAGAATCCTAAAATTTATATGGAACAACAAAAGACCCCCAATAGCCAAAGGAATCCTGAGAAAAAAGAACAAAGCTGGAGGTGTCACACTCCCTGATTTCAAAATATACTACAAAGCCATAGAAACCAAAACAGGATGGTACTAGCAGAAAAACAGACACACAGATCAATGGAACAGAATCAAGAGTCCAGAAATAAACCCACACATTTATGGACAGCTAATATTCGGACAAGGGAGCCAAGAGCACACAATGGAGAAAGGAGAGCCTCTTCAATAAATGGTGTTGGGAAAACTAGACAGCCACATGCAAAAGAATGAAAGCAGACCATTATCTTACACCACGCACAAAAATCCACTCAAAATGGATTAAAGACTTGAATGTAAGACCAGAAACCATGAAACTTCTAGAAGAAAACACAGGCAGTACGCTCTTTGACATAGGTCTTAGCAGCATATTTTCAAGTACCATGTCTATCCGAGCAAGAGAAACAAAAGAAAAAAATGAACAAATGGGACTACTACATCAAACTAAAAAGCTGCTGCACAGCAAAGGAAACCATCAACAAAATGAAAAGACAACCTAACAACTGGGAGAGGATATTTGCAAACCATGTATCAGGTAAGGGGTTAATATCCAAAATATACAAAGAACTCATACATCTCAACAACAAAAAAACCAACAACCCAACTAAAAAATGGGCAAAAGATCTGAACAGAGATTTCTCCAAAGAAGATATATGGATGGCCAACAGGCACATGAAAAGATGTTCAACA